GAGTAGATAAGCTTGTTTTGAAGCTGCAGTTGCAGAGTAAGATTGTTGTTTTAGGTTTTGTTTTTAAACTTAGGTCATAGGCTTACTTGGGTTGGATTTTAGGGGAAATTATGTATGCATGTGGGGCCATGGTCACAGGCCAATTAGATACAACTTCCCAGCATCAGTCCTTCACTCAGCAAATTGTTGCTGGTTTTATGTGGGCATTGGGATCTGTGGCTGTCTATCTGAGGTTTGTTGGGTGGTTTTCAAGCAGTGGTTGTCAAGTTTGCAGTGATTCCGTGTGTATTTTCCGTTGCCGTATACCTCAAACTTAACAGCATCAAATAACACACATTTATTATCTCAGAGTTTCTGTAGTTTTTAGACTTTTAAAATTGCAAAATGATACAAACTCATTATAACAAGTTGAAACATTGAGAAGTTTACAAAGTACAAATGATACATATGTCCTCCTTACTCCCCTCCATTCTGAGTCTCCACAGAAATAACTACTGTCGACTGTTAAGTGTATCCATTCCGATTTTTTTCTATGCTTAGATGAGGACACATTCACACTCATGCACCCACTTTTTTCCCCACTTAAAAAAAAAAAAAAGAAAAAAACAACAAAACAAGAATGGCTCATACTTAAATTAGGCAGGACTGTTGTTTGCAAGTGATAGAAATGCTGTGTGAAATATCTTAGGCAAAAAGAGGAATTCACTGCCAGAAGAATTTAAATCACAGGACTCTCTCTTTTTTTCTCTGCTTCTGTCAGATCCGCATTGTCCACAAGCTAGACCTGTGGTCACCAGGAGCTGCCTGGCTCACACCCTCAGGCTTCCCCATACAGAGAGCTTGTTCCTCTGCCGCCTTTTCTACATAAAATATTCCCAAGGAGGTCTTCAATTGGCCTCATGTATCATGGGCTGGGCGCAGTGGCTCATGCCTGTAATCCCAGCACTTTGGTAGGCCGAGGCAGGCAGATCACCTGAGGTTGGGGCATCAAGACCATCCTGGCTAATACGGTGAAATGCCATCTCTACTAAAAATACAAAAAATTAGGCGGGTGTGGTGGCATGTGCCTGTAATGCCAGCTACTCAGGAGGCTGAGGCAGGAGAATCACTTGAATCCAGGGTGCAAAGGTTGTGGTGAGCTGAGATCGCGCCATTGCAGTCCAGCTTGGGCAATAAGAGTGAAACTCCATCTCAAAAAAAAAAAAAAAAAAAAAAAGTACCTTTGCTGCAAGTAACAGAAAACCCAATTAAGAGTGACTTAAACAATAGGGGCTTATTCTTTTCACAGAACAAGATATCTAGAGGTGAGTGGTAGTTATGTGGCTCAGTTGTGCCTGCATTCTGGGCCAGCTTCTCTGAAGCTCTCTAGGTCTTTTCCCTTGGTTGCCACATAGATAAGGCAACTCTAAACACCATGTCCTCACTTGACAATGTCTTTCTTTATTTCTTTTGTTTTCTGAGACAGGGTCTCACTCTGTTGTTCAGGCTGGAGTGCAGTGACACAATCACAGCTCACTACAGCCTCAACTTCCTGGATCAAGTGATCTTCCTGTCTTGGCCTCTCTAGTTGCTGGGACTACAAGTGCACACCACCACGCCCAGGTAATTTTTTTTAGTAGAGACAAGGTCTTGCTATGTTACCCAGGCTGGTCTTGAACTCCTGGGTTCAAGTGATCCTCCCAAAGTGCTGGGATTACAGGCATGAGCTACCAAGCCTGGCCAGTAATGTCTTTCTTAACGTGGCTTCTCTCAAAAGCAAAATCTGAGACAAAAGCTCATATGCACTGACCTGGGGAGGTGACTGCAGGGCGCAGGAGCAGGGATCAGGGCGGGGAGTGGGGAAAGCAGGGAAAGGGGTGGTTAATAGCAAGGTTCATTACTGAGCTGGACAGTGCCGTGAGTAACTGGTGCTAGATTTTGCTGGGACCTTCTGGGGGGCCTTGTGCAAGGCATCTCAGAACTGTCAACCTGGGGGATCAAAGAAGAAAGCATTTTTCTGTCAATACCCACTCCTCTAACTAAACAACATAAGAAGGAACATAATTTCCACTTAGTGCTTATAAATAAGTAGTATACATAGTTCCTAGCTGCATAGTATTTTGTTATACAAGTGAGCCTATTCTTTTCTTAATGGACATTTAATTCACAGCCCTGGTTTTTATCAAGATGCTATAAACATCAAAAGGGGCATGACTTTGGTGAGGGGATCAATACCAGGGCTGAGGACTCCTATTTTATGCCATTTCAAGACTTTGGCTGGGCAAGGTGGCTAATTCCTATAATCTTAGCATTTTTGGAGGCCAAGGTGGAAGGATCACTTGAGTCCAGGAGTTCAAGACCAGCCTAGGCAACATAGCAAGATCTTGTCTCTAGAAATTATTTAAAACTTAACTGGGTATGGTGGTATGCACCTGTGGTTTCAGCTACTTGGGATGCTGAACTGGGAGGTTGCTTGAGCCTGAGAAATTGAGGCTGCAGTGAGCCGAAATTGTGCTGCCGGACTCTAGCCTAGGCAACAGAGTGAGACCACCATCTCAAAAAAAAAAAAAAAAGACTTTGGCACATTAAAAAAATATTTCATTTTGCTAAAACAATTCTCTCACACTAACCTATTCAGAACAAAAATAGAGAAGAGGTAAAAATAGCTTCTAAGTAGCCAAATAGATGACAGACGGTCATGCATTCCAGATGGAATGGGCAGTCCTGCATGCAGTGTCACTCTGGTTTTGTCTTAAATCTCATACACTTAACTTGTAAGTATCTTGTATCTTTATTAGGATCTCACTTAACCTCATTTTACTTACAAGTTTAACTAGATTGGTATCCCAGTTACTATTTCCACAGCAAAGGAGAAGAGGAAGGAAGCTGTTAAAGGAAGTCACACTGACAAAACCAAAATTTAAAAAGTGACCACTGACAGTCACAGAGGAGGCAAAAACAAAACAAAACAAAACAACAAAAAAACCTTTTAAAAATGACATAAATATGCAAAGAAGATTGGCATTCTATCTACTCTACAGAACCGTAAAAATCTCTGAGGTTCACAGCCAGAAAGAATGGTTAAAATTGCACTCAGAGTACTCTTCAGGAGGCAAGGAAATGAATAATTTATTCCATGCTATTATATCTTTGCATGCAGTATTGACTCAGTATGATTATTCTTTTTCTGTAATATGTTTTAGAGAGATTTCCTAATAAGTAGATTTAAAATGATGAAAAAGTTGGTTCTTGCTTGAACCCAGAAGGCGGAGGTTGCACTGAGCTGAGATTGCTCCATTGCACTCCAGCCTGGGCAACAAGAGTGAAACTCTGTCTCAAAAAAAAAAAATGTTGATTCTGAAAGCTCTGGGGAACTTCACTTTCCAAACAACCATTTTCCATGGAGTTTTAGCCAAGAGATTTCCTCCAGCAAGACAGAAGGGGAATGGCTTCTCTGCCCCTCTGCACAAGGGGGCGATGTCTACCAGCCTCTTCCTCTAATTTAGGCCAGTGGTGCCGTCTTGGGAGTACACTTTGACAGTCACCTTCAGTCCTTGCATGGTGATGGCTTCAATTGGGGAGGCAAATGTGGAGTCTTTCATCTGCCTTCCTAGAAATTTTTGGACATTTTAGAGGTGAACTAGAATGCAAAGGGTAAGAAAATTATCCTTTTTCAGGAAGAAAGGAATTTGGGAACTTTTTCTACAAAAACTATAAATAACACACGTGCCATTCATGCCTTGTTTAGTTTGTTTTATTATTAGTAAACAGTAATATCCCAGCAGTGACATCAGCTAACCAGAATATTTGTGTGGGTATGTGTGTGTGCACTCATGTGTGTGCAAGTGCTTGAATTTAGCTAATAGTGTGGGATAGATCCTTTTTTAGGCCTTGTTCTAGAATCTTGTAGTCCATGCGCCAATCCTGATATCTCTAGTGTTATTACTGTTATTAACTCTATCACTACATTGTGTCTGTCCATTCACTGTCTTTTCTTCTATTTGTCCTTTTTCTTCGTCTTACATGCTGTGATAGATACAATAATGACCCCCCAAAAGGTATCCTTGTCCTCACAACCAGAACCTGTAAATGTTATGTTACACAGCAAGGGGAATTAAGGTTGCAGATAGAATTAAAATTATTTATAGCTGGCCTTAAAATAAGAAGATTATCCCGAGTCCTTAAGTGGATAAGGTAGAGGCAAAAGAGTTAGAAACAGAGAAATAGCATTGTGAGAAAAAACTGCTACCGATAATTTTGAAGATGGAACAAGGTCCCAAGCCAAGGAATGTGGCAACTGCTAGATGCTGGAAAAGGCAGGAAAACAGATCTCCTCTAGAAGCTCTAGGAAAGAACGCAGCTCTGCTGACACCATGGGTTTAGCTCAGTGAGACCTATTTAGAACTAACCTCTAGAACTGTAAGACAACATATTTATATTGTTTTAAGCCACTGAGTTTGTGGTAATTTGTTATACCAGCAATAGGAAACTAATACACATGCTCATAAATTGCATTTAAGAAGTATTTGCTGACCGGGTGCGGTGGCTTATGCCTGTAATTCCAGTACTTTGGGAGGTTAAAGCGGGTGGATCGCCTGAGGTCAGGAGTTCGAGACTAGCCTGGCCAACATGGTGAAACCCCATCTCTACTAAAAATACAAAAATTAGCTGGGCGTGGTGGTGGGTGCCTGTAATCCCAGCTACCTGGGAGGCTGAAGCAGGAGAATTGCTTGAACCCGGGAGGCGGAGGTTACAGTGAGCTGAGATCACACCACTGCACTCTAGCCTGGGCGACAGAGTGAGGCTACGTCTCGGAGGAAAAAAAAAAAAAAAAAAAGACATTATTTGCCACTGGATGCAGTGGCTGATGTCTGTAATCACAGCCCTTTGGGAGGCTGAGGCTGGTGGATCACTTAAGGTCAGGAGTTCGAGACCAGCCTGGCCAACATGGTGAAACCCCCGTCTCTACTAAAAATTACATAATAATTAGCTGGGTGTCGTGACACATGCCTGTACTCCCAGCTACTCGGGAGGCTGAGACACTAGAATCCGTTTGAAACCATGAGGTGAGGGTTGCAGTGAGCTGGGATCATGCCACCGCACTCCAGGCTGGTCGACAGTGAGTTTCTATCTCAAAAAAAAAAAAAAAAGAAAGAAAGAAAAAAGAAAAAAGTATTTACTTTGTGCTTAACATTGTACATGGGGGAAAATACAAAAGTAAAGTAAATGTTGTGACACTTTCTCACAGGCCGTTGATATTTCAGAAGATGAAATGGCATTTTATTTCTTATCCCATTAGCTATCATGTGATGCTCATAGTTGCCTAGGTAATTACTAATTCATCTAGTCATCTACATTTATTGACTGTTTTTTCTGTGCCGGGCATTGTGCATACAAAGATAAACAAGATATAATGAACAAGATATAGCTACTTAATATAAACCAAGAAAATTCTTCATATCCACTACCACCCAGTCAGCTTTTCCTGCAGTCTGTTCCCAATCACCCAAGTCCTTAAACTCCAAATCTACAAAATAGAGCTGAGGTTTTCAACTAGTGGTGTATGTGAGTGTCATTGCTATGGTGGGCATTATGTGGCAGATAAAAATACAATACCTGGATCTGTGAAAGTAAAATTGTGAAATGTTCAGAATGAAATCACAGTGAAAGTAGTATATATTAAAACTGTGGAAAGCAATCAAAGTGGTATCTACATAAATATGGAGCCACTCTCTTTTGTTGTTAATTTATTATTGTGTCATACCATAATCAAACAATGTGATATCACCCATATGAAATCAAACATTTTTTAACTTGTTGAGATTTCTTTTGTGGCTTGTTTTTTTTCCTAAATTTTTCTCACTCTCTAAAGCAAGGTAAAGAATTACCTAAGGAGCTTTTACAAAAAGATCTGTAGCAGTAGTCTGCCAGAAATAAAATCTCAACAAGTTAAAAAATGTTTGATTTCATATAGGTGGTATGTTGTGTGATTATGATGTAATACAATAACAAATTAACAAAAGTGAGTGGCTGCATATCTATACATTTGGAAACTAACAAAGCACATCTATATATAATTCTCTGGATAAAGAGATAGTCAAAATAAAATTGTGAAATGTTCAGAATGAAACCACAATGAAAGTAGTATATATCAAAACTGTGGAAAGCAGCCAAAGAGGTATTCAGAAGGAAATTTATAGGCTTGATCTTTTATTAGAAAATGAGAAAGATTCAAAATAAAGTACTCAACTCAGGATAGAAAAGGAACAAAAATAAATCCCAAAGAGTAAATGAATTTACAGCAGATTAAAGATAAAAGCAAAATTAATGAAGCAAAACAACCTTCATAGAATTGGTTAATAAAACCAAAAGTTTGTTTCTTGAAAAAGATGAAAAAAGCAAACAAACTTTGGTTGTGATAAACATACAGTATTAGCATTAGTAGTAGTAGTAGTAGTAAGGAAGCATGTATATAATGCTCTATGGCAGAGACATTCTTTACCCACCAGAGGTATGTGTGCATCCATACCTTTCCAGGCACTCTTGGTTGAGTTTGATGCTGGTGATTGAGCTACAAGAGGAGTGACATGTGCCATATCTGAACCAAACCATTTACAAGCCTGTGTGCAATCCTTCAGCTCCTGTCTTTCTCTGCAGCTGTGATCTGGAAAGCCATGTGCTTAGACAGTGAAGCCATTGGATGGATGCCTCCTGGTTTACTGAGTTCCCAAAGAGGGGACAGATGCTCGGGAGTTGCCCAATTGCCATAGCACTTGTGTGAGCAAGAAATTCAACTTTGGTAAGTCTCTGGCTTTTTTTTTTTTTTTTAATTTTTTTGTGAGATGCAGTCTTGCTTTGTCGCCCAGGCTGGAGTGCAATGGCATGATCTCGGCTCACTGCAACCTCCGCCTCACAGGTTTAAGTGATTCTCCTGCCTCAGCCTTCTGAGGAGCTGGGACTACAGGCATGTGCCACCATCTCAGGCTAATTTTTGTATTTTTAGTAGAGTCGGGGTTTCACCATGTTGCCAGGCTGGTCTCAAACTCCTGGCCTCAAGTGATCCACTTTAGGACGCCTCAGCCTCCCAAAGTGCTGAGATTATAGGCGTGAGACACCCCACTGGCCCTCACTGGCTCAGGTTTGAATGTAGCATAGCCTCTCTTATCCTGATTAATTCATGTTTTGTAAAATGTGTTCTTTGAGAGTACCTCTCAGTTATTAGATAAATACCTGTAACTTACCAATTTAATTTTAAAGTTAAAGTGTAGGAAGAGAGTAGAAAAGGAAAGATAAGCCGAGCTCTTCCAAGTTCATTATTTTTCCTGTTTGTTGACAGACAAACATACTGAAGTCCTAATCAGTTACAAAGACCTAATAGGCCACATTATGTGCATCCACAAATACATATATACCTCCAAGTCTGTAGGAAAAAAAAGAGTGTCCAGCCACCTCCGGTATTGTTTTCTGTTTAAAACATTTTTCTTAATTTGTTAATTCACTGTCACTTTAGAAAGATGGTAAGATGAAGCATCAGCTCTTTTTTTAATCTCTTCAATAAACTATCGTTGTGCTTTATCACAATTCACTCATTACAGCATATTTCCATCAAAATGAGAGAATGAAAATAAAACAAAACCAATGTCTGTGCATTAAATTACCTGTAACTGAATTTGACCTGATTCTGATGCTAATTCTCATATTAAGAATGCAATAGAGCAAGCCACTTACTAACATTTATTGAAATGCTAGTTCTATGATATTCACACAGGCGTGTTTTAAAGTGTTAGTCATATTTCTAAAATTTACAAAATATTGAAGCATGCAGTGGTTAAATGCAGACTCAGCTTGCCTGAGTTCATATCCCAAGTCCATCACCTTAACAGATAGGTGACCTTGCCTATGATTTAACCTGTTTGAGCCTCAGTTTTCTCTTATGTAAAACTGGAATAACAATAATAACTACCTCAAGAGGTTATGATGGGTATTACAAGTGTTACCGTATGTAAACTGCTCAATTAACATTGTTGTGGCTGTTGTTGGTGATGATAATGATGTTCGAGATTAAACAGGTTTGAGGGTGGTCCCAGAGCTGTCACTGGTGAGCAGCTTTGCCTCTATCTGTGTGTCTTTGAGCAACCTACCCTCACTCATCTTCAGTTTTCTTGTGTACAAATGCAAATAATTATAGTTATTTGATAGACTTCCAGAGAGATTAGAGTATTACAAATAGTGGTAGTGCAGAAATGAGTATACAAAGCCCTTAATAAAAACAATTATTATGAAAACTGATCATTGGTAAACTACTATTTACCTATATAGCACAAGTATCCAAAATAATATTCTTTGTTACCGTGCTCTTCCACTTCTTCCTGTGCCTTCAACATTGCTATTATCATCTCCTGAACTACAGGTCGAATTCTAATACCAAGAATTCGAATATATTACCTAATATTCTTTTGTGTTTGTATTTTTAATGCCAAGATTTCATGAGATTTCATATCTAGAAACTTGAAAATCTTTTTGTTGTTGTTATACAGATTTTACTTGCCCATGTTGGATTTGACTCAGAGTCTACATGTTTGCTTTTTCTTTTTCCTCTTTTCTTCCTCCTCCCCTCACTCGATCCTTCTGATCCTCCTTCCATTGCTTCCTTCATCTCTTCCTTCTTTATAATTAGGTATGCCTCCAAACTGTGCTCCAGGAAACTCTCCATGGTCTAAAGGACTAGTTCTGTTTTGTGGAAGAGCAGTTTTGAGAATGTAGCACCTTTTTTTGGCTTTCAAATGCCCATCTAAGTGATTACCTATCTACTCTGCCACACAGAGGCTACCATTGTTCCAGTTATTGCTTTCACTCTCAGTTTTGCCTAAACTTCACATTCTCCAAATGCACTAAATATTAATTTCAGGTTGCAATCATTTGATCATTTTAAACTCATGCTTCTTTCTTAAATGCTACTGTAAACTTACTAGCTCCAGATTCCTATTGATTACTGATTTGAAGTCCTTAAAGAGAATGCCAAACAATTAAAATTCGATGTAGCCTGACAAAAATACCACAAGAATATAAAGTTATTCCAGGGAAAGCAAACCATTTCTTCCTTGAATTCTAGGGCTATATCCATTTGTTTGTTTGGCACCAAGTTGCAGGGGAAATGGAATTATCTAGATTGTCTTCAATAAAGAGGATTCTTACTTTCTGAAAATGTCAAAGCACGTGGACTGTTTTAGGATTTGAGTATATTATTCATATTTTATTTCTAAAGAAGAAAACATACCAATGAATATTAACAGCGATTGTGTGGAACTTATTATCTCTTCTCTGAAGAGAGGAGGATGATTGTGAGGTTTGGGGATGTTAGGAAGAGAATTACCTCTCCAGGCATGCTTGGCAAGGCTCTTAGATGAGGAAGTGTGGGAGAAGGTACTACCATGAACTTGACAGATTTGTGGTCAACCTCCTTGGCTCTTCTGGGGAGTAGGGGCACATTTTTGCATATTCATTTTGAGGGGGCAAGATGACATCATGGTAAGAGAACAGGCTCTGGAGGCAGACATAGCTGGCTTGAAAAGCCAGCTCTGTTATTTGCTAGTGGCTTGAGCTTGTATAAATAACTTCACCACACTTTGGTTCCTTCATCTGTTAAATAGGGACAGTAATGACACCTTCCCTCCTCCAGGGCTGTTGTGAGGACTGAGTGACAGAATGCATGGAAAGCATTTAGCACAGTTCCAGGCACATGGTAAGCTCAGCAAATGTCTAGTATTGTTATGGTTGTATTAACATTATTGTTATTTTACTATTATTGAATTCTAGAATTTAATAATTCAGTTTAGTTATGGAATGAGAGTTTTTTTCTCCTCTAATCCATCATGTGATCCTTGATTTCAACATCTGGCTTTACAATTAGAAGGGCTTATTTCTTCTCATGCATTTTTAAAATGTTTGCTAAAATATTTTAAGAGTAAATCTTCTTATTCTCTTCCTCGCCACCCTTTCTTTTGTCCATTTAAAGCATTAAAACTGCTTGTCTAATGAGGCTCTTACTATATGCCATATAGACATCAGAACAAAGTGGTCACTTGCTCCTGCTATTGGAAATACGGATTTGGACACAGTGGAGCCCTGTTGGATGAGACAGTGTTCTAGGACTCTCAGGGGCTTGGCTGCTTGGGTTTGAAGGACTTGGTGCTCTCATTCTCACTAGGGGTGATTTCCTTTTTGGAGCCTGGGGGTTATTATGGGGCTGTTTTGGTCTGGTGTCTGGGGACATCTCTAGATATCTGTGTTGGATTCTGGGAAGCTTTTCCTCCTTGGTTAATGAGGCTGCTGTATGTGAGAGGAGCATATCTCAATCCCTCCCTGGCCTTTGTCAGCTGCATGGATGCTGGGAGAAGTGAATGTCAGCCTCTGGCTGAAACTGAGAAGCGACAAGGGAACAGAAGCCTGCCAACAGACAGGCGCAAGGTCAGCACTGAGACTGCAGGGCTGAAATCACAATGTGTGCCCGGGATCCTGTTGGCTTAAATGATCGGTGATTGCTTCCTCACTTCAATGATGTTTTTGAATATATCTTTTATTTACAGAGTGCTTTCATGTACATCAACTTGCATAATCTTTACAAGAGTCCAGTCACAGGGGCAGGGGAGGTCTCGCCCTCATTTTATGGAGAAGAAAATGGAGGCTTTTTTCAATAAATTTTCCTAATATGTGTCAACCCATTTTCTAACTCTAGGTCCCACTGTTTAGAGTGTTTTCTTGGCTGAGCTGACCTTATTTCTAGGTAAAGACCATGGCTTGAGGCCCCGTGGGACAACCTGCAGGCACCAGATAACTTCTGCTTTCCTGCATGATTTTCTGCGATTCCATCATTTTAACCAATTATTCCTCTGCTTTAGCCAGTACCTCTCTAAGTTCTCTCTTAAAAATGCAAAGAATCCCTAGGAGGAGTAGGTAAGTCATCCATGGTAAGTCAGTTTGTCACATTAAATACACTCTTGACAGCCTGCTGAGATCAGGGCAGTTATGGATGGAAATAATGATGGCAGATGGGGAGAGGAACCTCTGGAGTTTGATGCACTGTCTGAGAAGGGCAGGCTGAGGGGGGTCCATTGGTTTTCTATTGCTGTGTAACAAATTACTACAATCTTAGTGGCTTAAAACGACATCCATTTATTATCATACAGTTTCTGTGGGCTTGCCTTATCTGGGTCCTCTGTTCAGGGTCTCACAAGGCTGAGATTAAAATGCTGGCTGGGCTGCATTCCTTTTAGGAACTTGGGATCCTCTTCCAGGCTCACATGGTTGTTGGCAGAATTCAGTTCCTTTGGGTTGTAGGACTGAGGCCCACATCTCCTAGAGGCCACATGTAATTCCCTGCCATGCAGCCTTCTCCATAGGCAGTTCACACCATAGCCATTTGCTTTTTCAGTCTCTAAGATGGAGTGTTATATGGTGTGATGTAATCGTGCGAGTGGCATTTTGAGGTTTCACCTGAAAATCTCAATCTTTAGTCAAAGCTGGGTGCACATTCTCATGGGAAACAGCTGGTAGGAGCTGAGTAGTGGCTGCCACCTTGGGAAGGGAAGGATTCTTGGTTTTCCAAAGTCTCTGCCTTCTGCTGGTGCTGCTTGTGCCTGCTACCCAGCCTGCTTCAATCATTGGCTGTGCCCATTTGTCTGTTGGTGGCATTTGAGTTTATGACAGGGGATTATAATCTTGAAGGAACCTGAAGAAGTGTAGGACTCCAGGAAATGGAATAAAAATGCTCTGATTGAGGAAAGGGAGTGGGCAGAGGTA